ACCAAGAAAAGGCTGTTTGCCCACGAGGTGTGGTTGCCACTCACCCCAGTGCCACCCGAGACTGGCATCCCTTGGGAACACCAGCCCCTAAACTCAGCCTGTGCTCTGGGTGGGCAAGCAGAGCCTTTCCTCAAAGACCTTTTGAAATATAAAGCCATTTCTTCTGTGCTCTCTATTTCAAGCTGGACTCCATTTGATTTTTCGGGATGTGTCACGTCTCTCTTTTAATTTCTCTGTTTAAGCAAAGTGCTCCATTTTTCCCTGCTGGAATGCTGCTGGATTCACACCAGCCCAGCAATCTGTCTCTGCTTATCAGCTTTGTCCTTCCTGGGGAGAGCAGGGACAGCAGTGGCAGGGAAAGCAAGAGGTGCCGTGGGAGGGGGCAGAAATTTCCCAGAAATGGGAAATAAAGCCATTTTATCTGGGAGAGAACAAAGTGAATCACTTTGATATCTCCTGCTCCTCAAGCGTTGTCACGGGCAGGATATTCTCTTACAACACTTGGAGGGTTTTGGACTTCTCTGCAGTGCTGAGCAAAAAATTGTCTTTGGATTGAGGTGACCCTCGCTGCAAAAATAGCAGTTTAATGTGGGCTGGGAAGGTCTGGTCCAGTTCACCTCTGCTAACAACTTCTTTTTATCTGCTAATGATGCAGCTATGAGGAAAATCACCACCCCAAAAGTGGAATGTGTAGGGAATCAAGCAACACTTCTCTTTTTATTCAGTCCCAGCTTCAATTTAGCAGCTGTTCTCTACAGAAAGTGAGGAGCCTCTTGAAATAATGGATTTAATTGCAGTAGCAGGCGTGATTTATGTTAGAGTGGTTCTGCTGGCCCCAATCAGGAATCCCACACTGGAGGGAGAAAAAATGACTCCCTGCACTTCCAAGAACTCCTCCCTGAGGTGTTGGATTTCCAGAGGAAAATGAATTTTTCCAGGGAAAAAGGATAGCAATTTCCAAGGGAAGGCTAAAGGGTTTCTAAACATCTTCTGTGTTACCCCCTAAAAAACGTGTCTGCCAGAAAGCTGCACTGAAATCAGCCATCCTCACTGCACACCACACTGTGCTCTAGAAAGCTGGCAAACATCACTAGAAAGAGGATTTTTTTATCTTACAGTTGCAAAGAGAAGAACAAAATCACTCAGTGATAAGTCCAGCTCTTCACTGAGAGCATGAGACATGCAGAAACTGAATTTAGTTTCATTTTAGTATTTTTAGTTTTTTATTATTTAGTTAGGTGGGGTTTTTAGTTGTTTTAGTATTTTTAGTTCAGTTTTATTTTATTTTTGCATCCCCCTCCCTGCTCTGTGGTGCAGCAGAGTGTGTCACAAACGGGTAATTTTGATCACTCAGAGTTATCTCCAATGGTATTGCAGAAGGGATTTTGGTGGGATGTGGTAAAAGTGTGAATTGAGAAAGTTCAACGGCAAGGCTCACTCTGTTCCTTACTACAGGGAGGAAAAATACAAAGGAAAAGAGAGTTAAAACCAATCTAGAATGATTTACAAATGATTTACACAGTGACCAGAGACCCAAAAGGGTCAGGGGGTCCCTCTCAGAGTGACCCCTTTGCTCTCCTGATGGAGTTTAGGTGCAGCTGGGTCCAGTCTTCTTAGCTTTCAGGAACACAAATAATCACAGAATATCATTATCTGCAGGTGCTTTTATTGAGAGCTCTGGGAATCAGGGGTACAGACCCAAATCTGACTCCGGCACGGCTTTAGAGCTGAACGTATTTTATATTCTATCATTACATAATTCACATATTAATTATTAAAGTTATATTGTTCTATTGTATACATTGACATGAGTTTCTCGTGATCTTTCTTAGGTTACTGACCACAATTTCTCATGATTAGTCTTATGATTAAACAGTAATTTTATTTAATTACTAAACAATCATCAAATCTAACAATTATATCAATTATCATGTACCAGCTACACAGTGCAGCTCTAGCAAGTACGAGTTCTCCATGTGCTTAGGGTGTTTATTTTTCCAGGGCCTACTAAGCTCATTTTTCCTTTTAACCCTTAATCCCCATGATTTTAAAACCCTTTTACTATCAGTCTGAGTCTCCTGTGCACAGGTTTGTGTCTGATGGAGCTGGCTCCGTGGATTGAATCCGAATTAATTCAGGAACTGAGGGTCCCTGATCAGCACAGGGTCTCAGCCTTGGCCAAGGGAGAATCTCTTGGTCTCAGGTGAGGAATTTTGTTGTATTTAAGGAAAAAAGGCATTTGGCTGGAAGCCAAATTGCTGACAGAAGGAAAGGCGTGTGTGAGGCTCCTTACTTGCTTTGTTCCTTGGTAAATGAGTGTTGGAGAAGCTGCCAGTTGCTGTCCATGGCTGAATTGTGGCATCGGTGTTCCGTGCTCCGGAATGTTCTCCGTGTCACTTCTCCTCTGGGAGGGTTCCCTGGAGGAATTCCTGCCCCTGGAGCCCGTCCCTGCCCAGTGCTGCTCTGGATCAGGGCTCAAACCCATCCCTGGCGGGGCAGGAGGGGCACTGTGGGTCCGTGGGGATGGAAATGGGTTTTGCAGAAATCTCAGCCCACTGTGGGGATGGAAATGGGTTTTTCAGCCCACTGTGGGTCCGTGGGGATGGAAATGGGGTTTTTCAGCCCACTGTGGGTCCGTGGGGATGGAAATGGGGTTTTNGGGTTTTTCAGCCCACTGTGGGTCCGTGGGGATGGAAATGGGGTTTTTCAGCCCACTGTGGGTCCGTGGGGATGGAAATGGGGTTTTCAGCCCACTGTGGGTCCATGGGGATGGAAATGGGTTTTACAGATTGCCCAGCCCACTGTGGGGATGGAAATGGGTTTTTCAGCCCACTGTGGGTCCATGGGGATGGAAATGGGTTTTTCAGCCCACTGTGGGTCCGTGGGGATGGAATGGGTTTTGCAGAGCCCTCAGCCCACCTGGGACATGTTTCCTTTGGGGTGGCACGAGCGGAGGAGCAGCTCCAGAGCCCAGAGCTGCAGGAAATGGGGGTGGGAGCTCTGCACAGTGACTCAACTCCTGCTGTCACCAGCTCGGCAGTGCCAGGGAGCGGAGCCTGATGGGCCGAGTGGGATGGAGATAAAGGGGCAGGAGAACGTCGGTGTGTCAGTGAGCTGCTGCTGGCGTGCTGGCAGGGACGGTGGTGTGGCCATTGCTGCCATCTGGGGGGACACTTCCCTCTCCCCTGGGCACAGCAGCTCACTCTGTGGGGCTTCGTGGTCACCTGTTGGCCACCAGCCAGCCCCAGTGGCTGTGACAGGTGAAATCTTTGTTAATGCCTTAAATCCAGGGACAGATCCATCCATTTATCCATGGATGGGGTTTATCCTTTTATCCATTCACAGGAGATGAGGAGGGGAAGGGGCAGAGGCAGGCCAGGGGCTCAGTGCTGTGCCAGGTGAGCTGGAGCACCCCTGAGTTCCCCAGTGCCACCAGTGCAGCCTTTCCACGCTGGCTCCTGAATTGCCTTTGTTTTTAGGGAGGTTTTGTATGTGAATATTTTTTTTTTTCAGTTTCAAAAATTTTTCGTTTGGGGTTTTTATTTCACTCTTATCTAGAAAGTTTTGGTTATTGTAGAAGTCTCCACTGGTACAGATATTGTGTAACATCAGTACACACAAAAATTACAATTTTTTCCTGGAAGAACAAAGGAAGAAAGATGCCCCCCTAACTGGAATTTTGACATACAAAATAATTGATAAGTTTTACAACCATTTTGCAGGAGAAATTAGAATTAGTTCTATGCTGATATCTCACAGGGTGAAACCATACCAGGTGTTTTGTCCCATGGAAGAACTCCGGAGCAGGAGCACGGGAGAGTGGATTTTTGGGTTTTTCCTCCAAATTCAGGTTGGAGGTCAGGTCTTAGGGATGCAGAGGTGAATCTCGAGACCTCTCACCTTTTTCTTTGCAAAACACAGCAGCAGTTTTTGAATCAGCAAATTGCAGAGTGCCCAAAGAATCAAAGAATCACCAGCTGAAGGTTTAAGCTGCAAAAAGCGACCCACCAAACTCTGTCTTTTTTTTTTTTTTTTTTTTTGATAAAAATATCCTTTTGACTCCAGCAAATTTCCCTTGCAAGATGATGTCTAATACATACATCCTGAATTACTCCTCGTGGCAAACCCTGAGCCAGGTCTGGGGAGTGGGGGGCTCATTTGCATTGCAAGCCTGCCATCGGTGTCTGGGAAGGCTGAGGCACTTTTATTCCAGTTTTCCTTTGAAGCCAAGGAGCCACAGAGGCATTATTTGCATCTGGGCTGGCATGAACAGCGCCGGGGTGGTGCCTTTATCCCTGCCTCCCTCGAGACAGCACAAGGGGTAATCAACAGCCTCAAGTGCTCCGAAACTGAGCCTATTTTTTCCACTGGATTAGCAGCAGCAAATGCACAAGCACATTATTAAGATGGTGCATTCATTTCTTTGGAGTCAGGATGGAATTTTGATAGAGTTAAAAACCCCATTAATATTTACATCACTTAGTGGTGCTGGAAGTAAGTACATTTATTTTAACTCAAGCTGCAAAGCATTTAGCTCTTTGTAATTACAGCACTGCTATTAAGTATTCATAAGGCTGCACAATAGAGTGTCACAGGAAACCTGGTTTAATTTAGTGGTAAGTCAATGTTTTAGGTTTGTGTAAAAACAGAAACTAATTTACCAAGCCTTCTTGCTTGTGTTTTCCCACCTGGGCTTTGCAAACTTTCTTCAGCTTGGCTCTATTCAAGCTACTTTTGGTACCTTTGGAAGTTGGGAAGTTGCTGGGGAAGTCTTGCAGGTGTGCAGGTATTTTGGAAGGGGCACAGCCAGGCTGGGGGAAGCTGCCTGATGGAAAAAGAGCTGGAAGTGCTGGTCCAAAGCAGCTGAACATGAGCTGCTGGGTGCCCAGGTGGCCAAAACACCAAGAACATCAAGAACATGGGCTGGATCCTCCAGTGGGGGAAATCTGCATTTATGGGAGGTGCTGGAACTAATCCCTGTGTTTCTGTCTCTGCTGCAGGATGAGGTCTCTCCTATGGACATTGAACTCCCAGCTGCCTGTGCCTGTTGCCTGTGATGGAAGAGCTTGATGTGAATGTGAGGTAGGAGGAAGGACTCGAGCTGTGGTGGGCAGTGAGCCCCAAAGTGTCCCCAAGGCTGCAGGGGAGCATTTCCTCTCTGCCTGCAGATAAAACTCTCTGCTCATGCAGCAGGGCCTGGCTTGGGGTTTCCTGGAGCTTCTCTGAGGCTGTGACATCACCCTGGTATTTGGAGAGGTGTCAAATGTGACCCAGACAAGTCAAGGATTTCTTTTCAGTAGAAAATGTTATGAATTTTGAAAAGGTTGCAATGTGATGTTGGAGAGACATTCCTGGAAATTTTTGACAGTTCAGTTTGGAACTTGCATTCATCACAGCTCGAGGGAGGTGGCAGACCTCATTTTCTCTAATTCCAGAGTAGAAAAATAAATGACCCACGAGTATTCCCTATTTATATTTTATTGGATTTTTTTAATTTCATGTGACTCGGCGATTGTTATTGGGTACATTTATTACAGGCACTAGGTTAACGAGATCCTGTCAAGTGGTTTGAAATTAAAACCTCAATTTGCTTACAGCAATCCAGAGAGAGGCCAAACTCTGCCTGGCTTGGGCTCTTACCAGTGTAAGTCACAATTGTGCCGTGCCTTTGGGATGATGAAAACCTTCCCAGGTTTGGGTAAGGCTCCCCTCATCTCCCTGCTCAGCATTCCCAGCTGCCAGGAATGAGGCAGAGCTTCTGACAGCCCCTCCTTATGTCATGGGAGCTAAATCTCACTCTCTTATTACATTTTTGGAGCACCGGTGACTCTTACCTACCCCAGTTCTGCATGGCATTTTTGCCTTGCATTTTTCTGCCTTTTTTCCCATGCCCTTTTCCCTTTGTCCCTTCTCCTCACTTCCCCCTCCACCATTTTTTCCCACCCCCTTTTTCCCGACTTTTTTTTTCTGCCTTTTCCCCCGTTCCCTTTTTCCTACACCTTTTTTCCCCACATTTTTCCTCGACCTGATTTTTCCCACCTTTTTCCCCACTTTTTTTTTTTTTTTAGCCTGCCTTTTTCCTGCCTTTTCCCCATCCTTTCCCCTGCTGCCTTTTTCCCTGCCTTTTTTCCCCACCCCTCACCCTTTCCCCCTCACCTTTCTTCCCTCTCCTTTCGTCTTTACCGACTGCAACAATTTAGGAAATGACACTTAATTGAGCTTTGAGTGATCAGGTGTCAAAGCTGACACCTGATTTTCCTGGGCTGGCTGAAATTTCCCTTGGAAAATCTCCTTAATGCTGATAAGGGAAAATGTGTGCTTAATGTCTTTACAAACAATTCCGGGGGTGTTAATAAATGGCTTTAAAGGGGCTCCTAATGTCTCCACAACTCCAAGGGCAAGGTTGTTACTGACCCCAGACAGGTTTGACTCCTGAACTATAGGGTCAGAGATAAAAGGGGCAGCACAAATCCTATTGCAGAAGCAGTGGGGAAAGGAGGAGAGTTACATGCAGCCGGGATTTTGGGATAGAAGGAATTTTGAGATTCCTCCTTTTATTCTAATCAAGTTGCAGGACTCCTGTGTCTCCTTTAGGGATGCTGGCTTTTCCCACACATGGGAAATATTGATCCCACAGTTGTGTTCCAGGCAGATTTTGGGATATTGTCCTGAGTGCTTCACACGAGAGAGGATTCTTGCTTCCTCAGGTTCTTACAGTGTGGATAAACAGGTGAAAAAAAAAAAAAAATCACCAGCACCTCCAGTGCAGGTTAAGAGCTTTTACAAAACCCTTTTCATTCAAGCTGCTGGTGAAGTCAGGCTCCCTTTGCTAAGTCAACTTTGGAAAAACAAGGTACTATTTCGGTTTGCCACAGCAGTAATTGCTTTTTATTTTTAAGCTGAGCCCCCAAACCCGCTGAATTTTAGACTGATGTTAATTGCTTCCAAACTTGGCTTTATCAGCTTTAGTTTTCTCACTTTGTTGCTGAAGGTGTTTTTGTGGCTTGAAAAGTGCAGAGCCCTCCAGCAGTTCTGTGTGCAGCTCATTAATCTTATCTAGACTTGGAGGAATGAGCAGCAAGGTGAGGGAACAAGGGATCAGCTCGGTGGGACTGGTTGTGTTCGTTCTGGAGCAGAGGCAAAATGCCATTTTTTAACCCAAAGGCCTGGTACAGAGGCACGGGGAGCACTGGTCCATCCGTGCCCTCGGGAGGGAATTGTGTGTTTGAGTCCCAAATCCTGAGATTGCTGTGCTGGCTCCTTTTCCCCGTGGGTCACAAGAACTGGAGCTGTTGATGGGATGGGTTTGGGTGCTGTGCACAGGCAGGAGGAGGCAGGGAAGCTCCTCAGTCTCCTCTCCCCATCCAAACCTGGGAGAAACAGGAGCAAGAGTCATGGAGGGAGAGACAGGGACCCAAAGACCCATCCCTGGAGCTCCAGGATGTCCTGGAGGAGCTGGACTGTGCCTCTTCCCCCCTGCTCAGGACACTGCCAGCCACTCCTGAGGGGCACAAGAGCTGGGCCGAGTGGTTGCAATCAAATAGGCACCAAAATGATCCAAAATGTAGGAAATGGAAGGAGTTGAGGGAAGTGTTTGTGTGCTCTGAGTGCCCTGGCAGTGGGGATTCATGGAAAGCAAACAGCTGAGGTTGCAATAGAAGTGTTTATTCTTGTGTACACAAGCTCTTTTCAAAACCTCTCCAGCTTCTACACTTGGAGTCATTAAATCATTGTTTATCTCAAGTCCTTTGATCGCACTTGTGCTTAGGTGAGAAATAGCAGGCTATAAAATGTCATTTAACAGGCTGCAATCAGCCTGGAGCTTTCTTCCTCCTTCCCTTTCCAAGGGAATTTCAACTCTAATCCTTCTGTGCTATCAGCAGCATCCAGCCAGAAAGGGATTTGCTCTTGCATTTCTGCAGAGATAAATGAACTGATTGAGAAGATTTTCTGCCAAACCCTGTCTTCTCCACCTGGTCCCCCGGGCTGGGGAAGGGGCTGGAGCCCCAGGAGGGGCTGAAGGAGCTGGGAAGGGGCTCAGCCTGGAGCAAAGGAGGCTCAGGGGGGACCTTGTGGCTCTGCACAGCTCCTGACAGGAGGGGACAGCCAGGGGGACATCCAGGACAAGAGGGAAAAGCCTCAGGCTGGGCTCAGGGTGGGCAGCAGCAGGAATTTCCCCATGGAAAAGGTGCTCAGGCACTGGAACTGCCCAGGGAGGTTTGGATCCCCATCCCTGGGGTGTCCCAGGAAGGGCTGGAGGTGGCACTGGGTGCTCCGGGCTGGGCACAGGTGGAACTCGGTGAATCTGGAGGGCTTTTCCCACCTCAGTGATTCCATGAAATCCTATAAGCAGCCAGTTAAAAGAGGCTGTGGGGTTTGGCAGGTTTATCCTGTTTATCCTCTCTGTGCCTGGAGGTGCTGAGGTGCTTGGGCACAGCAGGGACACCCTGGGAGCACTCAGACACCTGGGGCACTCCTGAACCTGCAGCACCAGGGCAGAGCAGGAGGCCTCAGGGGAGCAAGGAATGATTAAAAAGTTCATTTTTACATTTTGTGCCACCAGCCAAGAATTTCCAGTAGCCAAAAAAAATAACACTGGGGGAAAAGTTCTTTTTTCCTAAACACTCCCTCCAGCCCAGGCACTGCTCCATGGGGGAGTCATCAGCCTGGGTATTTTTCATATTGTTCAACTCTTTTCTCAGTTTCTAGGGAAACACTTTAAAGCACTATATTTATGGGAACATCTTTCCAAACACCTCCGCCAACACTTAATTAATGGAGTTTTTAAGCCTGGCTCCAGCTTCTGCAAATGAATCGTGTGCTCTCTGATGGCAGCTGTGCAGCAGGGGAGACACACAGGCTCTGGAAATAAAGTTGGAGAGTGCAGAGGGGCAGCTCCTGTTTGTGTTTGTGCTCAGCCCCTCGGGCAGGTCAGGCCTCTGTGAGGCTTCATCTGCTTTGATGAGAGCAATCTGTGCACGTGAAAATGCCCTGGACCAAAAGCTGGGCCACAAAAACAAACTTTTTCATGTCTTGCATCACATTGTCAGTGTCTGTGCAGAGGGGCAGCGAGTGGAGATCTGGAAATGCTGTGGAAGGATGTGAAAACCATCCTAAAAACTGGGGTATCCTGAGGCAGACCAGGCTCCAGGGCTGGAAATGGGCTGGATTTTATTGCCAGCTTTTGTCCAGGGGAGCTGCAGTGCCAGGGGCTTTCCACAGCACCTTCCTTGATTTCCAGGGCTGCCCTTCAGCACTGGGCTGGCAAAATTCCATTTGTCCCCATGTTTGCATGGCTCTCTTCCCCAGGAGTGGCTGTTCCCAGGGATCAGGGACTTCTGCAGATCAGCACCTTCCTGCTGGAAGCTCCTGCCCTGCTTAGCCCCAATTAAACACAATTAACAAACACCCCCAGAGCTTTCCAGGCTGGGGAAATGTGCTGGTCTGACTCCTGGGTGGCATCTGGGCTCCATCTGAGCTGAGAGCCTGCACTTCCCATCCTCAAAGCACCCTGACCTCCTCTCTTGTTTATCTGGAGTGAGAAATGTGGTGAGGGCTTTGTGGAGAGTATTCAGAATATGCACTTAGCTGGGGATGTGCAGGAGGTTTAATAAAACAAAAGCAGGGAATTTAATTAAGTGTTCTGCTCTTGAGTCAAGGACGTTCCATGTCCTTGCTTAGAGAGGGCACCTGCCTGGAGCCTCCACACCAGTGAGGGCCATAAAAATCAGCTGGTGAACATCAGGGCCGGGAAGGTTTCTGGCTGGAATTATCTTCATCAAGCTTTGTTTTTTATAGTAAAGCTCAAAATGGGCTGGGAACTGTTTTTGTGTAGCTTGGAGTCACACAGGGGGTCGGGGCAGGGGGTTCTCAAATAAAATGTGTTTTAGAAATCAGTGTTTTATCCTCTCTGTGCCAAGTTTTCCATTAGCAGAGGTATCTGCAAAGAACTTTTTTGTTCCTCTGGAGGTTTGAAACTGGGAAACTCTCCAGGAAATATCAGAAATTAGACAGCCAATAGCTGTATTTGTCTTTTGCTGTCCAAGGTGTAAACAGGCAGTGGGAAAAGGGCACAGCCTGGA